TTTGAACCTTCTGTAATAGTTGCATATGAGTCCCTTAGTTGTCCTCAGTGTGAAAAGATGGATCTCAAAATCATACAATCACTGTTGGAAAGGGTTCAAATACACAAAGATGCTTAAAAAACTGAAGAATCTGCAGGAGCTGGAGGATTTTTCTGAAGAACAGTGCTCAGTTTAACTGTTCAGAACAAACAAGAGTCATGAACAACCATCACAAAACAAAAAAACACAGCTGTGGATCATCCAGGTAACAACACAGTGTTAAGAATTAAGCGTATGTAAATGTTTGAATGGGGTCATTTTTATAAATTCAACTATTATTTTCTCTTGTGGACTCTATGTAAACGTCTTTCATGTGAAATATCTTATTCAGATCAGTACTGAATAAAAAATAACATGCATTTTGTATGATCCCTCTTATTTTGGTAAAATAATTAACATTTTGCAGATTCTGCAAGGGGTATGTAAACTTTTGACCTCAACTGAACGTGTGCTATCAGGGCTGTGATTCAGCCTAAGTAATTTGGCCTAGAACAGCGATTAAAGCCATGTTCTGTGCCGGTACCATTCAGATTTAAACTCAAAGAGGAAACAAGAAGGAATTACGGCCAGATTCCTAAGAGCTTTGGCTGTTGAGAAATAGTTAAAGCGAACATGTAAATTCTCATTATTTACTCAACCTCATGTCAAGTCACCTTTACTTATACAGTGCTTTATACAATACAGATTGTCTCAAAGCGAAAAAAATCATCATATGTGTTCTAATGAAGAAACAAAGTCACCTACATCTTGGATGCCCTGGGGGTAAGCAGATAAACATCACATTTTAATTTTTGGGTGAACTACCCCTTTAAGGCTGCTCTGTGCCTGCTCAAAATTCAGTGTAAAAACGCAATGTTGCATAAAATTATGCCGGCTCTAACCCACCTCAGCCCCTGTTATTAAAGTACTGTATAAAGGTGCAATTGCTGTGTAAATGCATTCATGCCACCTCTGAGCAGCATTAAACACGAGCTGCAGGGTTTAATTTGGATTTGTCTGTGCATGTTTTTTTTACTCTCATAGATTTTGTTACCATTGCCATGCATTATACGACTGACAGACTGCAACGGCTGGAGTTAAAAATCATCATATGTGTTCTACTGAAGAAACAAAGTCACCTACATCTTGGATGCCCTGGGGGTAAGCAGATAAACATTAAATTTTCATTTTTGTGTGAACTACCCCTTTAATGCTGCTCTGTGCCTGCTCAAAATTCAGTGTAAAAACGCAATGTTGCATAAAATTATGTCGGCTCTAACCCACCTCAACCCCTATTATTAAAGTACTGTATAAAGGTGCAATTGCTGTGTAAATGCATTCATGCCACCTCTGAGCAGCATTAAACAGTCTGTGTAAAAACACATAAAAATGCCTCTTCAGAAGCCACCTCTGCAGTGTAAATTTGGCATTCGAGTCATTTTCTAGCTCTGTTTAATGCACTATCATCCAATAGTGTCAGTGTAGTTAAATTGATAATGAATTGTCTTTTAAATCCTGTTCACTAAATCTTTCTTTGTTGTGTCTAACACAAAAAAAAATTTTTCCATAATGTTCTGGACTGTTTTATTCTATACAATAAAAATGAATGGGGCTGAGAAGCTGCAAAAATGTCATTAAAACACTGTGAAAGCACACGAGTGGTATGAACACTTTGAGGATGATTTTTGGAGTGTCAGCATTCTTCATTTTGTGTTGCATGGAAGGGAGAAAGTCATATGGGTTGAAAGCTCTCCTGTACTCTAGGTCTGATGACGGCTGAGGAACTGAGGCAGTTAGAGGAACTGCCCTCCCCTCATAATAAGTTCTGGGTTCCCTGCATGTGGTTTGTCAGTCTGGCCATGAGAGCTCGATCTGAAGGACGCATCAATAATGATGTTGCAATGACCGCCATCCTCAACGTACGTCTGACACCTGTCTGTGTATATGGACTAATCACTCCTTCTTTATATGTGTCATAAATATCAATTTTTTTGTAAGAATATTTCTTACAGAATTAAAAATATGTTTGGTATTCAGTTTTATTTTACCTTTTTTAATGTTTGGCATTTATTATGGTAGTTTCATAGAATACCATTAGTGATTTATTCAATAAAATTGTGAAGGCTTTATTATTGTTGTGAACTAACCGCTCCCGATTTATTGAGCGAATTGAGACTGATTCAAATTTACGAGCGAGTTCGAGTCTGTTTAATGAATCTTTTTGACTGAACCGTTTCATATGAATCATTTTTCGAGAATCGGACATCATGTCTTTCGCTATGTTCGTCGTTTCTAACGATAATCTAACGACATTATATATGACAAACTTATGGACGCACCTCATGATGATGAGGTTTATGAACCTAAAATATACAACACTCTAATAGTTTTCAGTTTATTTTAATACGGACATGGCTGAATAATGACTCCTGATTCAGTGAAGGAGTCATGAATTCATTAACGGCTCAGAACCGATCACTGATTGAGTGAGTCTAATTTAAAATCGAGCAAATTCGAGGCTGTTTCATTAAACTTTTTTGCCTGAGCCGTTTCATTTCGATATGGACATAACAGAAAAATAACCCTGGTTCAATGAGTGAGTCAGTGAACTAATGGCTCTGAACGATTCACTGACTGAACTGATTTTGATTGAAACCTCTACCTTACAAGCGAGTTCGAGGCTGTTTCATGAATCTTTTTGACTGAATCGTTTAATAAGAATCTTTTTTCTCTCTATTTCGGAAATCATGTAGTTTAAGTATTAATGGAGTTATGGAATTTCAGTAGTAACAGCAGAATCAAAGTTATTCAGATGACAAGAACTCAATAAGTCTCCCTGTGAGCAATAGTTTTTTTTTTTATCTTGTTTTTCTCCTGGTAGGAGTTGAACACACTGCGCTCTCAGTGTATGAGGCTGTACGGCTATGACTGGATCAGCCTGCCTCTAGTTTACACACAGGTTTGATGGTTTAAACTCTTTATTTACTAGTACTAGTAATAGAGACAGAGGCGGAACTAGCCAGGCCCATAACATTTCAGATTTCCCTGAATAGATCCAAGCAAAATCTGAAATGAATAATTGAATAAAATAAAATAAAAAGAATAATTGACCAAATTTGTATGACCAATCACTATTGATTAATTTAGAATATATATGATTAATCTCTGGTTGGAATGGGAAATTATCTCTAAATGATCTCTGATTGGTTGGAATGTGTAGCGATGATCTCTGATTGGTTGGAATGTGTAACGATGATCTGTGATTGGTTGGAATGTGTAGCGATGATCTCTGATTGGTTGGAATGTGTAATGATGATCTGTGATTGGTTGGAATGTGTAGCGATGATCTCTGATTGGTTGGAACTTGGAATGT